ACCCCAAAAAGCGCGTGATATTTTGTTCTTTTTCAGAGGGGTGACAGAGTCACCTCCCTGGCTTGCAAGCCCGACAAGCCACTTCATGTCCCAGCCCTGGCACTGACCTAATTGAATGACACAGGGGAAATAGCTTCCCCTCCCCATTCCTCAGTTTTTCAGTCCAGACTGAGGACTGCAGTAATTTCCTTCCTTGTTTTAAGATCTGCCAATTCAATATGCCAACTAAGCCCTTGAAGACAGGTTTTCAGGTAAATCCAAGCAGCTTCTAACTCTTCCTGGGCTTCTGAAGTTGGATGTAGAGGCCAGGATTCATCTTGGCCACGTGGAGTACTGACTGTAGGGGAGTGATCTTACAGTCCCTGGAGGCAAGGATGCATCTCCAGGGGATGAGATGAACATTTCTGGAGTTTCTGGAACCACCTGTTTCTCTCCCCACTTTGAAGGAGAAGCTGATGGTTGTTACATTCTCAATTTAGGCACTTCATTAAGCGTCTAAAGTTAAGTTGGTGCTGTCTGAGCTGTAGGGTCAGATCTGGGATTTGTTTGTGCCAAAATGATGTGGAATGACAGAGCTTGGCATTCTCCAACCCAGGTGTCCAATTTGCCCTGTTTGCAGGTCATTCATCCTCTTTCACAACAACTCATGTCCTCGTATAACTCGTGTCCTTGTGTGACTCATGCCTGCCCCTTTCTAAGAAGGGTTGCCCATTTCAGTGGCACCGAATGCAATAGGCTCTTCACTTGAGTAAACAGTCTGCTCTTTGGCAAACATATCACATCACTGACAAATATCGGGGAACCCAGATCTTTCCTGAACTAAAATTACTCAACGTTTTTCCAGGAAAATATACCATCCCAACAACGCACAGCTGGGGATGGCCATGATGCGGGCAGGAGTGACTCACTGGCATGCTGGTCTCATTGAAGCCGGGCATGGCTTAATCTGTAAAGCCTATGCCATTCTCCTGATAACCCATGGACCTTCCCACCCAATTACCAAAGACTTGGAGGTAGGTGTCATCTCCTGTGTTGTCTCTGCTGTCTGTCTGGATAAAATTACATGCAAGCTGTAGAAACAACCCATCCATAAGAGCTGAGAGATGCATCAAGTACTGACTGTTTCTTACTAGTGCTGTGGTTTTCTCTAGATTATGTTACAGTCTGCTGGGAAATGCATATCCCTTCCTATGGGAAATTTTTATCCCTGAAAATAATTTTTATCCTGCACCAGGACATATATTTAAAATGGCCACTGAGCCCCTGAATCTTCTTTGAAACTGCTGTGCCCAAGGACAGAGCCTCCCATTCTTCAAGCAGCCTGATTTCTCTGCTCTCAGATGGATGGCATTACAATTTGCCTATATCAAATTATGTGTGGTGGATGTTCCCAGTTTACCAACTGGTTTTCTTTATTGGTGTCCATTCTTCTTTATTTACCACTCCCCAGTCCTTCTAAGCTGCAATGTATTTTTTCCTCAAATGACTGATTATTTCCTAGTATTTCCTAGCTTAGGGTCAAGAGCTGCAGATCCCAGGGAATTACATCTGCTCAGCTGTGATGAACTATTTACAATCGCAGCTGGGGATCTATCATTTCTTTAGCCTTTAAGTCACCTGATGTGACCCGTTGGCTTTACAGCATTCTCCTTTATCAGCCAAAAAAATTACACGATACCAAATGAAATCCTGTACTGATGTCTTAGTTCCCATTATAGCAGAGCTATAACCTTTATTAGTGCAATTTTATATCATCAGAAAAAATGAGTATCTAGTACCTAAAGCCAACCTGTCTGTTGACAGTTTCCCTCTATATAGCAGAGGGCGAGACCCCAGCACCTCCATTTCTGTATCTCCCTTCCCACTTACTTCAGGAGGAACATAGTGGATATATGGCACCTGCTTACCTCTGTGCTCCTAAACCAAGGGTTGAATAAGCTCACAGACAGGTGTAGAAAGATTTCCTAAAATCCCTTTCGAACCTCTGCCATAATGCAGCACTAGGAATGACTCTGCTCATGGTGAATCCTGGGATGCAGGGGGTGCAACTGTGACGTGGTCGAAGAAGGGTTGAGCATCCCCCTCCTCCTCTCCTGCCTCCTCCCGCACGAGGTGACTCCCACCCCGGTGATGGGTCACACCGGGGGTCAGGCCCAGGGTATGGGTGGCAAGCGCACTCGCTCCCTGGCTCTGCACAGCATCGCCTTTAGGTCCTGCGTCAGGTTTGGGAGCGTGAGGCTTCCCAGCAGCCTGCGGAAGAGCTGGGTGCAGGAAGGGCTGATGCCTTCTTCACCTTCACAGTACACAGGTAACCAGGTTTGAGAAAGTAACGGGATATCTGTGTCCAGTCAGCTTTGGTCCTGCTGGTGGGACGCGTAGATTAAATTGCATCAGTCATTACATGGCCTAGGACATCCCTGAAGGACAGTCCCCATTTTTAGGCAGTGCTTTATTCACTTGCTTCAAGGTCCCCTGCGTCACAGGTTTTATAATCCTGTTGTATCCCTCAGGTCATGCGTGTCCAGACGGAGATGGAGCTGCGCATGTTCCAGCAGAATGAGTTCATGTATTACAAGATGAGGGAAGCTGCCCTCAAAAACCAAAAGATTCAAGTCATGCCTGAACCCAGCAATGAGACCTCACCAAGCCTCTTCCATAAGAAGGAATAAATCCTGAGCTTGGCACAAATTCACGTGGGATAACATTGCCTGTGTCACCTCCAAACATGGGGAATGTGATATTGGAATGTGATGTATCCGTAAGGATTGTTTCCAGTGGCACCAATCTGACAGCATGGACCCACTGGGCGAGAGTCCTGAAAAATATTCTGAGGGCTCAAAGCAGAGGAGATCTTGGCAGAAACAACATCCTTTTTCTACCACGAGCATTAAAAATCAATGCAAAAAAACCTGTTATAAAATTATTTACATTCTTATTGGAAGCCTGTTTGTCTCTACACGAGTCCTGATCCTGAAGTCCTTGGTTAAATTTTAATTGATTCTTTCCTAAGTCGTTTTTTCCCATCACTTCCTTGTGATCATCATTTCTTTCCAATGACGTCCATGAGTGGTTGACCAAGGGACGGTAGAATTGGGAAACTGGTTCCAAAAAGTGTCATGTACGCCTGTGGGCATTGAGTGCAAACTGAATAAGACCCGCAGATGCTGTTTTGTGTAAAGTGGCATTTTTCTGATGAAAAACTGATGAAAAATGATTCTGCAGCTGACACAGGTGCAACATCAAACTGTGGGCACTTTGCAAGTGAGATTAAGTGGAGTTCCTACATCAGGATAAATTAATTAGACTCCTTAGTTAAAAATCAGAAAATGTCTGCAGTGATGGCAGCAGATGGATATGAGACGGTTCTGTGCCAGAAGCCAGTTGCACTGGTGTGGTGCACTGGCTGTGTGGATTGCTCTCACTGGACAAGCAGTTTCCAGGGACAGGGATCCACCTCTGCTCACCTTCAGGGTGAGTTGGGGGCTCTGATGCCTTTCAGGACCTGCTTTGAGCTTAGACAGGTGCTTAATCTATTTTACACTGAGCAGAAAAGGGATAGTCAATGGAGCAGCTGGCAGTGGGCAGCCAAGGGAGCCAATGAAGAGACTAAAGGCAATGGTTGGATTTCTAAATAAAAAAAGGTCTTTGCTGTTTGCCCATCTATCTCAAAATCCAACTGGTCTATCTCAAAATCCAGCTGGTTTGCTCCATACATTCAGTGGCAGCCAAGAGATGAAAAGGGATGGTTTGTTCAAGAATCCCCTACCTGCTCCTCAACAGAATAGCAAGAAAACAAAACCAGGGCTTTTTCTCTTTGACATTTCTCAGTGATTTTGCTTATGTTTCTCCACATCTAAGATGAGTTCATTGGAGACCAACATCTGCTTTTTCGGAGCTGTTGAGCTAGGCCTTTCCATTTGTCCATGAGGTGCCCATCTGACGCCTAGTGTGACAATCCATATTGGTTCAGTTCCTAGCATGAGGATCAATGTCGACCTGTAGCATGAAAACCTTCCCTGAGGAGACAGGAGTCATGGGAGAGATGCACATGAGGACAAATTGGTCCCTTAGTGGCACATTTTGGGGTTGCAGGAGGAAGTGAGGAGGCACTGGTGGTGTTTTCCTGACATCCTGATCAGTTGTGAGAACAACATCCCAGCTAAGTATATCACACCAGCAATACACCCGTTTCCCAGTGACGATTCTCAATCATCATCTGAGCACAGGGCTTGGAAAAGGCAGCTAAGAAGGAAGAGTTTCCTCTCCTGTGTTGGTCCAAAACCCACATATCCATCCAGCCTGCAGTGCCAAGTGACAGTGTGGGAGATGACTGTGGTGTTCCTTCTGTGTCTACAATGTGAACAACCAGTGCCCATTTCCTGCCAGGAGAGAAAACCTGTATTTCACCAGTTCAACCCAATTTATCAGGTGTGATTTGGGGCAAAACACACACTGGATACCTCCAGGCTGTCCAGGGCCCTCTTGCTGGTGGGAAGGGATGGGCAGGAGATGGGGATGGAGTGGCCAGAGCCTGTAGGGCTCGATCCTTTTGCAGAGGATGGGGATGGTGGTTGGGACACCCGAACTGCCCCCACGCCGGTTGCTTCCCCAAGGCAACTTTCGAGGCAGGATCATGGACATTTTTTTGAGCCTACCTAAACCTCCCCATCCTGTGGCCCTGCCAGTCACCTTGTGGTCACTTTGGCCATGTTTGTAAGGAAAAGGAACAGAGCCCTTTCCTTGCCCAGTGCTCCTCCGTCCACCCAGCAAGGGCAGCCGTGGGCGCACATCCCACCGGGACATCCCCGGCAGGATGCCGGCACCTGTCCCCAGGAAGGGGCTGGAAGAGTGCTCATCAGCATGGAGCGCATCTCAGAGGGTCACTCAACGGCTCCGAGTCTGCGCCCTAGCCCGGCTCCATTCACCGACATCAGCGGCTCAGCCTGTTGCCCAAATTCTACCAGGGCTTGCGTGAGTTTTGGAGGCTTGCATCTCTTTATAGCAACAGCAAAGAGGTTGATGATAATAATGAAGAGGCCTTTAATACAAATTTTACTTTAATGGACACATTTTACACAGTAAAATGATTGGCATGTGCAGGGTCTCTAGATTCTCTTGCTGATTCTCTTGTAGGTGAGGTCTCCCATGGTCATTGTCTGAAAAACAAATGGAAAGCGTTAGCTTTTCATGGTGCTTGGCTCCAAACTTTACTTGGAAAGGATCTGGTGTTGCAAATGAAAACACGACTGTTCCCCAGTCTGTCTTCTATAAACTGAATTATTAAAGCTTTGGATGTCTTCATGAATACCCCAAAGCAGGTAGGGATAATCTGGCATCCCTCAACTGGGATCAGTTGCTGGGGTGCACCTCTATTCTTTAAAAGTGCCAGGCCCAGCCACAAACATTTACATCTGGGTGGGTGAGAACGTGTCCTCATTGCATGAAACTTTGATCAGAAATGCCTACTGGAGTCTCAAAGAGTACTTTTTGGATCAGACTATACCAAAAAACTGCCTTCAGTGCCTGGCCAACTGACCAGCTTTGGCTACAGAGCCTGAGTGCAAGCATGTGCTCATCTCCAGCACCTCTCTAAGGTCCCCAGCATCTCTGTAGGCTTTGTAGGACCAGAACCCTGAAGGCAGCTCTATGCACTATTACTCCAGCCACTGCCCTGTCATCTGCACTTACATTGGTGATGGTGTCTCCGTTGAGTTCGGTGACGGATTTCAGCCCTTTCAGGTTTGCGACCAGTCTGTTGTCACCCTCCAGCTGAACAATAGCCTGGTAGAGAGGGGAGGAGACAGAGGCCTTCATGTTGTTGCTGGAGACCATATCAACCCCTGCATTTTGTCCTTCCCCTTCTGTACTGAGTTGCCACCGTCCCCTCTGCAAGCTGTTTGGAGCAAGATGCTCCCCCGGTGAATTTGGCTTTCCTGGGAGGAGGAGGAGGGAGGGTTGTGCTGGTGGTGACTACAACACGGCAAGGGTATGAATGTTTACTTTGGGCTCTGCAGGGATGCGATTTTGCCACTGTACCTACCTCTCTCCACTTCAAATTGAGACTCACTCATGGCTCCCGCACCATTAGATGGCAGAGTGGGGATCCTTGGCATCCCGTGGCATCACACCAACACATGAGTTTTGGGGGAGGACAAGGCAGGCTCTTCACCCCGCCAATACTGGTGCCTCCGTGCAGCCCTGGTGCTCCTTGGGGCAGATCCTCACGCAGCGCCCAGACCAAGAGGACCTGCGCACCTCCAAGGAGAGGACTGCAGAGCCACCTGAGCTGGCCCAGGGCACGCCATGTCTCCTCTCCACCACCCACCTATTGTACATTGCTGCAGCAACCCCCTTTGGGGTAGGGTGATGGGGAGCTGGGCGACAGCGTGGGGCTGGGGGGAACCTCATTCAAGGTGGGAAACAATTTAAGGAGCTTTCAGAAACACAGTCATGGCTGGAGAGCTCTGGGGAGCAAACACATCTGCTGAGTCTCTGCCCCCGAGGAGTTTCACATCTAAAAAGACTCCAGACATCACTGACATCCCCAGGGCCAGCTATCACTGATCATTGAAATTATTCAAAGAAATAACCGAGCAAAAAACATTTCTGTCCATCTGTCTGTCCAGCTGTAAGACATGTTCACGTGCCCTCAAGGTGCTAAATTTATGGAGGTCAAAACTCTTCTAATAGCCATTTCCCCCTAGTTTATGCGCAAGGGACTTCAGTGACGCTGGAAATCGTGATACAGCAGGTACGGCTCTCAGAGCCCGACTCACTGGATCATTTCTTTGGTGATCATTCCTCCTGCTTTCAAAAGTCCCTGCAATATCATCTTCTCCCGAGGCAGAGGTGAGAGGCAATATTTGCCGGTGGCACTGTCTTGACATTTGATGGACCATTGTAAACTAATGTCCAGGAACGGGAGCTGACCCGATTTCAAGGGTGATAAAACCTCACCTTGCCAAATCATCTCACCCAGCGTAAACAGGAGCAGCGGAAAAGGCTAGCAGACAAGCTAACAGCTGCTGGGACTTAAAAGGAGAGGTTTATTGGTTTATGATTCATTGGCTGACTTTCCTGCACTACCTTTAAGTCAACAAAACAAAGGTGGGGTATGTTTTGTGTTGCAACATGACAGAAAGTCAACCCTTTTCCACCTCAAATCTTTCAGACCTTTTGCTGTCAGAAAAATTTACCAAAGCGTCTCTATCCCCTTTTTCCAAACGGGCTATTAAAACACTGGCTTCCAGTATTTTCCAAACTGGCTATTAAAATAGCTTTAGAAATGCAAGGCTTCATCTGCAGAAGTGCTGGTTGGGGAGCTTGTATGGTGTTTTGTAAAAGCGAAGAGGGGAGGTGGGAACTTCAGAGTCTCGGGCTCTGAGTTTCTCGGGAAGGTGGCTCAGAAATTTCGTTTTGGAAATGTGTCCCTCAGAGCCTTGCTGAGGACCTGCAGGGAGCAGGGCAGCAGGAGTCACATCTTCAGACTTGGTTTCAGCAAGTAGCCCCTTCCCATTATATTAAATCATCCATGCAAACTGTGAGAGACAGAACGAGGCTGGGGAATTACCCAGGTCTTTGCCCTGTGTCAACTTTAACACCCATGGTCTTGTCATTCCCTTTGGCCCAAGTGCAGGGGAAATGGCTGGAAAGGACATTCAATGTCCCTAAGCCCCTGCAGCCCAGGCAGAGGAGGAGCTGATCACTCACCTTGACCTTCTCTCCCGTCAGCATCTCCATCTCGCACTCCTCCCCAATGGTGAACTCGTTGTGCAGCACTTTGGAGCCAGTGGTCACGGTAATCTTGAAGTTTTTCCCATCCTGCACAATTTCTGAGACACTCTTGATGTCCTTGCCCTTCTGGATCTGTTCATCGGGAAGCCCTGCCCAGGAACAGGAGATGTTAGGTGGACCTTGGTGCCATCGGTGGGCAGATTGCTGCTGCCGAATGAACACAGTGGGATTTGGGGACCCACAGCTGGATGGATTTCTATTCTAGTGTGGAAAAGCCTCGCAAGGATGATGGTTCCCCAAGGGCCACATGGCCCTTAGTCTGCTGGGGACGAAGAATAACAAATACTGTCATCCTGGGTTTGCGTGGGAACTAGACTTCTCCCTTGTCCCACCGATTTGGCTGGGAGCAGAACAGCTACCTCCCTGGCTGAGCGTCGGAGGGAAAGAAGAAACCCTGTTTTCCTTCCTTCACTGAGAGGCAAGCAGAGAAAATGGAATAAATCGAGGCAGAAGGAGGGAACCAAGTGGGTTTTTTATGAGATTCAGGGTCCCTTAGAACTAACTCGTTAAAGTCTTCTCCCAAAGCCTGAAGCTGATCTGGCAGGTAGAGCTCCTCCGGCACATAACTGTGCAGAAGTAGTGCAAAGCCTCCTGAATCCCTGCAGGAGCACGTTCCCTGGTACTGTCACTGGCGGAAATCTAGCTAGCCACATTCATCATTAAGCATTTAAAAAACTCGACTATTTTTCTGATGAATGGTGGAATTTGGGGCTTTGCAGCCTCGCCTAGCAGCAGCGCGGTGGGCTGAGCGATGTCCTGCTCGCTCTGACGTTCCACAGCCTGACGGGGCAGATCTGCAGTCGCCCTAAGCAGGTCCCGCTGGCTTAGCGCGTGTGTGCAGCGCTACCGCGCTGGCCCGTGGCTTGCAGAAACTGCTGGGATCCTTTTCCTGCAAGCCATAAAATTTCATCCAGCAACCCTTGACCTCCAGCCACCAGCCAGAGAGATGCTTTCTCTTCTATTTTGAGATCACATCTCCATGCACATGCATTTAAAAAAAGCCAACAATTGCAAGATGCCACACAGAAATAGGAAATCTGAGAGATGTTTTCAATCTACATCATCGGCACATCGGCACAGACTGCCAAATATCAGTGGGATCTGCGGAGGCAAAGCAGCACACAGCGCATGCAGGCACTTACCGAGGGCTTTCATAAAAGTCTCAAAATTTTCCTGGGACTGGAGTTCGTATTTTCCAGTAAAGCTCATGATGGAAAGGCTCTCTGTGCTCCCAACACAAAAGAAGGTGCCTTGCTGGTAAGCAGAGCTTGGTTTTATAAGGTCCTTTTGCCCAGAAGTTGGTCAGAGGTAAGATGATGTAATTCTTTTATGGCCATGTTCAAACATTAACATAAAACTGGGCAATGGTCAGTGATAAATTGCTCTACATTTTACAGACCTCTATTTACAGTGTGGGGGCAGGGAAAATGCCATAAACCCATTTTATGGAGGTAGCAACGTGGCATCCATAAACAAACGATAAAAATATAATTGGGCAAAGAGATTAATTATCAGAGGAACAAGCCAAATCATCTAATCAGCTTGCAGTCTGGAAGCGCACATCTGGAAGAGGAAAAAGCGGTGAAAGATTACGGAGCTGACGCCGGTGGGGTTTCTACTTGCTGATGTGTTCATGCTGGGTCTTTAGCACCGGCATGAAGAGTAGTGGCTGCACGCTGGCAGGGATTAACTTGCTCACTCCTTCAGGTGCCTCGTGGGCCTCTGTAATGGTGGGTTTTCATGTAACGCAGAGGTAGCAGTGGTCACAAAATCATCATTGTCCCCTAAGGAAAAAACACGACTCAAAATCAAATCTTGGGCTTGAACTGGCCCATCCTGAAGACTGCAGTTTAATTCAGCCTCCATCACTATGCCCTTGCCTCCAGAAAGGAGTTTTGTGTGGATAGATGGACCGGTGCCATTAATGATCAACCAAGGCTGTTGCCAGAAGCCACCGGTAAAACTCTCTTTCCTCTCCTTTCCCCAGAGGAGCTGCAGTCACTCGTGTGCTGAAGGAGCATCTTGGCCTTGGGAGCTGCATTTCTCCCAAATGCCACATCAGAAGTAGGGCCAGCAGCCGCCTCCAAGCTGAGCCCGATTCCTCCCTCCATAAGCGGGACTCGGGGCTGGGCTCCTCTCCCAGTGTGGTCCCCTTGGTGGAGCGTCCCGGGTTGCTGCACGGTGTCTGAGCATTTACCCTCTGGGTCTGGACTCCCAGGCTCAGCTTCTTGCTCCCATCTCATCCTCTGCCCCAATGAATTCCTCCTCCCTCCCAAAGTCACCAGCTCAGGGACTTTCCCCCTTTGCACTCGTATGCCTTATCCTCTTTGCAGTTCTTCCATTCTGCCTTTTCATAGCAGCTTTGGCCTTTTTTAAAGTGAAATCACGGATAAGCGTGAAAAAAAATCTGTCTCCTTCCAATTTGGAGATGCTGCCAGAGCCCTCTGCAGCCGCCCATCCTCCTGCTGCGGGCTCAGCCCAGGGCTGCCGCCCACCCCTGCTCTCTGTGCTGCACAGCGACGCTGCCCGGGCTGGATTCATCCTCAGTTTCTGGTTAATTAGTACAGGCAGTGTCTGCCTGACAAGGCAGGAGAAGGAAAACCTCTGCTCTTCGGGTGAAGAGTTGACTGGGGGGTGTCCGTGGGGGAGATCACCCCTCCGCATCGTGGCAGGGGCCAGGTGGGTCCAGAGAGCGCTCATTCAGCACTTTCTCCAAACAGCTTTTCAGCTTTTTTCCCTTTTATCCCAGGCTTCCCAACAGGAATGATGTCACCTTAGGAACTGCATTTCATTTTTCCCCCCACCCTGGGTGAATACCCCGGGGTCACGCGGGGCTGCGCTGCTACATGTCGCTTTTCAGTGTCTTCTTCATGGGGACAGTGGTGGCTGACCTCTCCGGCCAGGTCTTGGCAGCAGCCAGAGCTGGCAGCTCCCTGCATCCCACCAGGTCATGTCCTCCAGCCATGGGCCACCTGGAAGCACACGTGTGCCTCCCACGTGTGCATGCCCTGGACCTCTGGCTGCTCCTCCAGGCAATTCAGGTCCCCTCTCTTTGCATGATGGGGAGAGAGATTCAGACTTGAAAAACCACCTGAATGTTTTTCTATCATCTGACTCATTTCGGAGCCCAGTGCTCCCGACGCACTATGGGGGATCACCATGGGAAGCTCCAGCTCTGCATGGCTCATTTTTCCCCTCCCGTCATTGACCGGAGCAGCCTGGAGTTGTGGTTTTCATTCATTTTTCAGTGAGGTGCGCTCCTGAATCGGCCACGTCTGACCACATCCCACTCCTGGGGCGGATGCCCCGTTCTCACCCATTTCCATGTGCAGGCTAGGGGCTAGAAGGGGGGGCTGCTAAGTCAGTAGGGAGAGACCTTTCTCAGGTAACCCCAGGCACTTGCAGTGCAATGGGTGCCTCTGAGCTGACGTCTAGATGAGCCAAAGGAGAGCAATAGGAGAAATATGTCATGAGTAGTGTCCCAGGGCTGCATGTCAACCTCCAGCCTCACCAGAAGAAGCCTACATGACTAGGGCATTTGTTAACGTTTCATATTAGCCAAGATGAATCCAAGCTTAGGTGCTTGAAGGAGTGCCTGGTATTTCCCTGACCCCCCATCTCAGCCACTGCAAACTTTCCAGGACCACAATCTCCATACCAGCTTGAAAGGAGATAAAACCAACCAAGCTAATGAGGATTCAGAAAAGCCCACCAGGTTTTGTCCCACAAACTTTCAAATGGTTATCATGCCTAATCTGGGCAGTTGAACCACTTAGCAAACCACCAGAAACTGGGTGAGAACTCCCCCTGGGCAGGCCAGGCTCCTAAGGTCTAGATGTCACCCACCAAATGTTAAAAGGGGAATATAATTGTTCAGGACTCTCTTGGTAGTTGGCAGAAATGGGCAACTCATGAGAGAATTCACCTCACTTGAGACCCAAGTTGTTTCTGCAGGTACCCTCTCCTCTTCTCAGTTACTATGGATAGATAATATATCTATGCTCCCAGCTTCGGTGCGTTGGATAAATGTGAGCTATGGACCACTGCTGGCAGGTTTGGAAATACAACCAACTGATATTTGATCAATGATCAAAAATAAAACCTCTTTGTTTTGTCTGCAGGTATTCTGCTGGACTCGTGTTCTTTTATTTCCCCTAGTAAAGAAATGCAGAAGTTCTTATAAAAAAAGAAGAAACCCTTACTGAATGAAATTTGGCCAGGGTAATTATTATCTAGCCAGGCCCGCTGAGCAAACCGCGGGTGAGATAAACTTAATCTCAATAGCAAAGTTCAGAATACTTGTATATCTCCCCACCAGAATACAGGATCTTTTAAAACATGACATCACTTTAACTTTCCAGGGCCAAGAAAATGCACCTGATTTGCATTAACACAAGGCTGAGTCAGTTGACCATTTGATTAAAACTAAATCCGTACCCTAAAACCTGGACCTGGTTTGTAGAAAGAAAGGCATGGATCATTTTCAAAAATTATTGAGGAGACTACTTCTTCTGGGAAGCCAGCAGGTAATTCTGTGTTTAAGTTGCTTTAAAAAAAAAGTGTAGGATCTTGGAAACTTGTCAGAAAAAAAGGACACAAGTGTCTCATTTCTGCTTTTTGCACCTGAATCAAAGATATGGACATGCAAAACTTCTCAGCTTCCTCCTAGCCATGGAGGTATCCGAATGCTCTGTGTTCCAAGGTGATGAATTGGAGAAAAGCCAGTTAGGAGGGACCTCTGAATGTCTCTGGTTCAACCTCCTGCTCCAAGCAAGAACGTCACGAACACCAGATCAGCTCAGCCATGGCTTTGGCCAAATCTCAAAACCGCCCCCTCTGCCTCTCTGGGTACCCATCCTGGGACTGCATCACCCACCTCTCGAAGAAGAGATGCTCAACCCAAGCCTCCCAACGGGCAATTTGTGGCTGGTGCCTCATGTTATAACATCTGTCATAACCAAGAAGAGCTTGACCCTGTCATCTCTGTAGCTGCCCGGGGAACAGTTGCAGTCTGTTATCACCTTCCCTCAACCCTTCCCTGTGATTCCCCGTCCTGGCTCCCATGAATTAAGCACTTTCACTCAGTATCTGCCAGGGCACTGGGAAACCACCCTCCAACGTGCAGTGCTTCTGGTGATTTGGACGTTATGGTGGGGAACGGGATTTTGAGCCTCAGGACTCCTGCAGCAAAAATCCTTCTCTGCCTCCTCCAGTTTGAACCAAATTTGGACATTAGGAAAAATTTCTTTACTGAAAGAGTGGTCAGGCCTTGGAACAGGCTGGCTCCGGTAGGGAGGGGA